TGCTGTGTCAGGAAGAAGGTCACGTCAGATTTCCCAGCTCTTCTGCTCAGGGTGAAACTGTAATGACCGTTCTGTCTCAGAATCCAGATGTGAACCTTTATTGCGTATTAAGCTCGTTCTGCTCGTCAAGTTGACGGGCTTCTAGATCGTTTTGTTCCACCTCTGCATCTTCCGATTACTAACTAACGCAAAAAAACTTATTACATTTTTTTGTTTGTTTGTTTGTTTGTCAAGGAAAGTCAGGTTTTGAGGAGATTTAAATCAACACAGGGAGCAAAAAAAATCTAAAAGGGTTTTCAATTAACAACATTAACTAGAACAACGCGAAGAGCTGATATGGCAGCAAAAAGATACAAAACAGCAAACCTCGAGGAGACGCAGAGGAGACGCACACAGAGGAGGCCCAACATCAGACTGTAGTGGAGTTAGGATGGAGAGTCCATAGACATATATACGTAGATGCCTCGTTGAGTGGGCTGGCCCATTCCAGTGGTACATCGGAGTGTCCGCCATATTTGATGTGGCAGATCAGAATACAAGGAAATGGACTGAACTTCATAAACCACCGTTCTACAAAGTGTTTTAAGTTGATGCCTGTCATTCACACACACTGAAATATTTGGAAAACAAACAGGCACCGAAGACATTTGTAACTTTTAACATGATTATTAAAAATGTTTACTCCATAAATGTTTAGGTTAAAGGTAAACACTAAACAAACATATGTATTATTTTGAATGTTTAAAACCACCAATGTGTGTAACGTGGTGATAAATATAGAAATATTTGTATTTAACATTTAATCTGTGTCTATCATTACCAGATCCTGAAATGTAGATGTGACGTGTGGATTTTCTGAATGAGCACTAACAATCACATTTAACTGATTTTGATTAATCACATAGATGAACACCAATACATTTACAGTAGTCCCTCGTTTATCGCGGGAGAGCTGTACCCTGAAGCTTCGCGATAAGTGAAACACAGCCAAGTAGGAATACGGTAGTAGTACAAGTAGTAAGTAGTAGTTTGTTTTAGTATATATATATATATATATAAATGCATTTTAAACCCTTCATACACTCTTGCACTATTCTAAACAACGTTTCTAAACTTTAAATGCTCTAAAAGAGTTCAGAATGTCATGATTTCAGCTCCTGGCTTCTGGCTGCACTCCTAGCTTTTGGCCACGCCCACTTCTCTGCTGCAGAATAGAGATAGACGGAGGAGGAGGGAGGAGGAGCTGCAGGAGGAAGTTTCTCCTGCAGTGTGGGCTACACACAGTTGCAGCAGGTGCTAAATATTTTTAAATAATTTATTTTAAATAAAAAGTCCATGCCGATCGTGCGGCTCATCCATCAATCAGCCAATTGTGTGTCATGTCTAATCTTTTTGTGAAAAACTGCGACAGAGCGAGTCCGTGAGAAATGAACCGTGAAGTAGTGAGGGACTACTGTGTATATATATATATATATATATATATATATATATATATATATATACAGTCTGTGTGTGTTTATGTGTGCATGTGTGTAAGTTATAAACTTTGGAAAAGAATAGTCTTGCACAGCTTTTTCCGTGTGTTGCCACTGAATGAATGAGACATCTTTTACCACTTTCCTTTTGCCACATCCAATATGGCGTTGACGTATGATTCAATGCTCAATGAGGCGTCTACGTATACTATATGTCTAGAATCTTTATTGACAGGGGCTCATGAGCATTGTGGAGAAACCTGGGCTTAATCACAACAAGGAACCGGTGAGAGAGCGGGGCAGAACCAATGAGAGACAGGAAAGAAAACTGAACACAAAACATTAAAAACGAAATAAAGAGCATAACACCAAAAAAAAAACCCACACAGATTATGATAAGGCAAAACAATCTTATGTATTCAGAGTATTGCTTGTGTGAGGGTGGATGTTGGACGGCTTTCAGACATTACATTTTCAGTCAACTTGATAAATACCACCATTTTTTTTTACTGCTGAATAACAGTCAGAATCTGACACTTGGAAGAACTATTTCTGACAGTTAACAGGGTCTGAATCAGGAAACCTTCACACAAAAATGTCACAAGACCTTCCTCATCCTTTTACGCCTTTCCTGTCTCCCGTTCCACCCTCAGCTCTCCTGTGCTCATTCAGCAAACTGTAGTTCCTCTCTTTCAATTTGCCGACCATGTTATGGCGCTCTACAATGAGCTACCTCGGGGGATTGTAGGCAGGCAAGAGCAGCGGCCCCGGTCAGGTCCAGGGAGAGCCGATAACCTTTCAGGGTTGCTTTAGCATGCTGTGTAAAGAACAATCGGTTATCAGTGTCAGCTGCAGACGAATGCTAATCCAGAGTCAGACTGCAGCGGGAGAATAAGAACATCACCAGCTCACATTGTCACAACTGGATGTTTGCTGCTGACAAATACCTTTGAAAAGGCTCAGAGGAAATATTTTTATTGTCAAACTGTTCTGTAATCCTCCACCTTTAAGCTACGTGTTTGGAATTGTGCTGAAAACGTGTTTCAGGTTCACCCTGCAGCTGTCGAATGGAGTTTTACAACTGCATCCATTATGGAAATACATTTATCTCAACTGCATAACAATGTGGAAAAAGTACTTATTTATATTGTAATGTACTTTTTTGGAAACAAAAGGCATATAAATCATAAACACTGAGGAGATTTCTTATAAAATGCCACACTCTGGTAAATGTAGGAGGAAAAGGAGTTGCTTGAAGTTCTGTAAAGTGTTAAAAATGTCTTGGGTTTGAAAGTTATAAAAAGGATGCAGACTTGGAAATAAGCAGCTTGACTTCTGCAACTCGCTGCTCATTTCAAGCTGAGAATAGCAACATTAATCATTACTACTCTGACACAACAAAATCTCTGTCTGACAAGGTGTGACTAACACAGGAAGAAAAACACATGGCATGGAGAAACAACCTCTTGATTTATGTTTTCTGTTTTTTTAATGGCCTGTTTAATTATGTGCCAGTGCTAAATTAATGTCAATGTATTGAAAATAAATAACATATTTAGACGGAAAGGACTACATCTACAATAAAATGATGAAATATATATATATAAATAACAATGTATTTAAAACTACTGAGTGAAAACAATTACAATATTTAAAAATGTCTTGCAAAATTGTATTTTACAGTCATGATTTGTGGTTTACAATTTAAAAAAATGTGCTTCAGGACAAATTCATGGAGGTGCCTGCAGTGGACCCAAACTATAACATGACATAAACACTTTATACAGCATTTGCACTGATTTATTAGCAACAGAAAACTTTATTAATTTCTCACTGATCTCTGTTAAATGTAGCCATAGAAAATACACAGTTAAAGCAAATTATAAGCAAACAGATGCATGAATGGTAGATATTGTTAATGCCTTGTTTATGTTTGATAATACATTTTACAGCTGGGCTCCAAGATTATGTACATGACAGATAAAATACAGTAAACATTTCTAAAGATTGGTGGTATATGACCTCACTCTGATAAGAACAAATCACCTTAATTTTTATTTTTATTGTAAGATACCAAAATATATTTCTATGAAATGTTTGGTGAGTTTATTTGGAAAAATGCACATTACAGAAGAAAACTGTAGTGTTCAGTTTGAAATGAGCTGAAAATGATCAGAGGATAGGAGGATCTGTGGTGGAAGTGGTCTTCAACTACAAGTACTTGGGTGTGCACCTGAATGACAACCTCAGCTGGAGCAACAACACCACCAGCCTGATTAAAAAGCTCATCAGAGACTCTACTTCCTCAGGCGGCTGAGACGAGCTGGTCTGGGAAGCTCAGTCCTCACCTCCTTCTACAGGTGTGCAGTGGAGAGCATCCTGTGCTCCAGCATCAACATGTGGCGTGGAGGCTGCACAGCTGCAGAAAGAAAAGCTTTGCAGAGAGTGGTGAAGGCTGCACAGAAGATGTTGGAGTCAGTCTCCCCACCATCACAGACATCTACACCTCCAGATGCAGGAAGAGGGCCACCTGCATCATGAAGGACCCCACTCACCCAGCACACACTTTTTGCCCCGCTCCCCTCAGGAAGGAGGTTAAGGAGCATTAAGTGTAGAACCACTAGACTGAGGAACAGCTTCTACCCTGAGGCTGTTAGACTCATGAATCTCTAACCAGGAGAATCACTGTGAAAAATGACATCATGTTGCTGCTGATCTGTTTCACGTTGCTGCTGATCTGTTTCATGTTGCTGCTGATCTGTTTCACTTTGCTGTGTTTGTTAGTGCTAATCTACTTACACAGGCTCATGTTTGTGCTGCTGTTCGACGTATTGTTTTTATGCTATTAGTGCTTAGAGTTGTTTTTCTTAGTTCAAATCTTAGATCTTATTACTGTTTATCTTTTACATTTTATTGTTGGATGTAACTGGGACCCTGAGTACACAATCTTGTTCCACTACATCTACCACATGTGGTGCAAATGACAATAAAGAAACTCAAGCTGTGTCCCAATTCAGCAGCCGCATCCTTAGAAGGACCCGACCTACGTCGACCGGGTAGGCCGGGTCCTTCGAAGGATGCGGCCGCTGAATTTGGACACAGCTTCTGACTGACTGTGAAATAAATCTCAACACTGCTGTGATTTAAATAAACTTTTCTAGACTTTCCCAGAAAAAAATAAAGAAGCTGGGGTGATTTCCACTAAATGTCAAAAAGAAAAAAGTCATCTTTCTGTGTAGCTGCTATGAAAACTAGCGTTAGCAACAGAGTAATTTATGGACTACCATCTGGTCTGTAAAGGTTAATACCACAGGCGATTCAGATATGCAAGTTGAACAAGAACTTAATTAAAATACTGCAGGATTTGAGACACATCTGCTTGTCAGGGAACTTTGTTTTGTCTGCTGCGTTCAGGAAGGACAATTCAGTTCGTTCCAGAAAAAGCTGACATTTGGAAGTCTTGCTTTGGCTTTGTCAATCTGTCTGACTTGTCTTTTTGCCCTCTTTGTCTCTTTCACTCCCCAGCACGAATTGTGCGGAGCCGTCAGTGGTGTGAGATGGCTCCCTGCCTGGAGGGGGAGGTCTGCAGCCTCCTGTTCAACAGATCCGGCTGGACCTGCACCAGGGGCAGCGGTCGCATCAAGACCGTCACGGTAATTTACATGGCGTGGCATTAATCCACGCCATATGCACTTACAGTTTTGCACCTTCGTTCTCAGCATGGGTGACCCTCGTGCTCAAGGGTCATGTGTCAAATGAAGCCTCGGACCTGGAAAACAGGTTTAACAATTTAAATTTATTTATTTAAATAAGTGAAAAACTTTCAAACGTTAAATGTCGCTGTGCTGTTCTCCGAGGGTTAAAGTTTCCATTCCAGTGATGCTACAAGATCATTTATGGTATTTAATTGCTCTGGTTGACTTTCACTCATAATATTAGGGAATATTTGGTGCAAATTAAGTAAGAGGAGTGTTGTAAAGGACATGACCATCTTATTTTAGCTTAAATTTACTTTTACTAAGTCTAAGAAAATAAGAACGGTCATTTTACAGTAGACGTCAGCTCTGGTTTGGTTAATTTAGGCCCATAGCTACAGTTGAGCTCATTTAACTTTTAGCTACTCTTTTGCTAGTTTTACATTTTGATTCTGCTTGTTTTAAATAATAATTCAGTTTTAGCATCAACAAATTTCAACACTCAATCAGCACTCGGTATTCACACTGCATTTTATCCACATAATTAAATTTCTGTGGTTACTTCATTCTGATCTTTGATTCTTGTTTACGGTGGCCCTGAGGTGTAAATGAACAACCTTTGAAAAAAACTAAATTACATTTACACAAAAAAATGAAATTACATTAAGCCAAAGTGGAAGTGGCCGGAATCCCATTTGAAAAAAACCAAACAGAATTACTTTTGTAAAAACAGAATCACATTAAGCCAAACCGGAGGAGGGGGTGGGGGGTTAGTGTTTTTTTTTTTTTTAAACAGAACAACAGAACAATGTACAGTACACACACAAGGGAGTTACAGTTAGCAGGCTAGTCATTACTAATGCAGGGCCAGTAAAACTAAAATATAAAACTAAAATGTATGTCAACAAAACTTAATTACCTTGAAGATTCTGCCGAGTTTTTCCAGCATCATATCTTCTTCTTTAAGCTTGAACAAAACGCACCTCTCCATTTCTACAGGCTAAAGGCTAGCCTGCTAACTTGCTAAATGCTGTTCATTTACACCTCAGGGCCACCGTACTTTTCCATCCATCCATCATCTTTACCCGCTTCTTCCTTTCCGGGTCGCCGAGGTCACTGGTGCCCATATCCAGCAGTTACTGTGCAAGAAGTGGGGAACAGCCAAGGCCATCACAGGGACACTTAGAAACAAATGAGACAACCATTCACTCTCTCACTCACACCTAGGGACAATTTAGAGTTACAATCAGCCTAACAGGCATAATTTGGGTCTGTGGGAGGAAACCGAAGAAAACCCACGCATGCACGGAGAGAACATACAAACTCCATCCAGAAAGGTCCCGGGCCGGGATTTGAACTGGCGACCTTCTCGCTGAAAGGCAACAGCTCCAACTGCGCCACCGTGCCGCCCTTTAGCATCATCCTGATCACTGGATCAAAAATGACTCTCCAGGTTGATTAAAGATCTAGCATTTCTTGAAGGTTTAAACTGAGTTTAAATTTAAATGTTATTCAGTTATTGTCTCATATTATGAGATTTCGTACGATGTTTTAATGCTAGGAGAATGTGCTTGGGGATGACTCTCAGCATTGATCTGTAGCTCAACATACTGTATTGACCTAGTATTGGCTAATGTTAACTAGCTGTGAAGCTATCTTGAACTTGAATGACTCCACAAAGTATTTAATTGCTAATGTACATCTGATGATTACTTTCTGAGAGCTTTGTTAAAATCTGTTCCGTCGTTTAGGAGATCATTTGTTATTTCTATAGACAAACGCGCATCTTAAACCTTGATGCTCTGAAATTTACACCTAAGATCCCAAGAACCACAGCTCTCTGTAATAAAGTAAAAAAAAAGAACACTCGATTACAGTTTCTGAATGTGCACCTAGCTTAAAGTGAAAGATTCGTGTGAGCTGATCACTTTTTGTTGACTTGTTTTACAACAGTTGCAACACTGTGTGTTTCTGGTTTGCTGGTCACATCACGGCTCCAGAACGGATCACCGTGCAGATCAAAACAAATGAGATATAGACACTTGTTGCATAAGGCACACTGTTTCCTCCGCAGTGTTTGTGGCTTCATGAACACTTTCATCCAGCAGGATGCTGCTAGATATTAAATGCATAAATTAATAAATAAATAAACACATAAATAAATCAAATAAATTAACCCTGCATGAAGAAAAATAACAGATTGGGTTTAATCTTGTTGCTGTAACGTCCTCACCAGGCTTGGTATGAGCTTCTTTAATAGATTTTCCTTTGGCCTTATTTTGTTAAATGTCTGTAGCACTTATTCATATCACTCTTTCATTTTGCTTAGTACTTTCTGTTTAATGGTGAGACAGTGGCGCAGTTGTTAGAGTTATCTCCTCTCAGCGAGAGGGTCACAGGTTTGCCTCCCAGCCTTTTTGTGTGGAGTGTTCATGTTCGCCCTGAGCACAAATGGGTGTTCTCCAGGTACTCCCACAGACCAAAAATGTGCATTTTAGGTTAAGCTGTAACTCTAAATTGTCCCAAGTTGTGAGTGAATGGTTGTTTGTCTTGTTGGTCCTTATGTATCTCTGTCACAGATCTGTCCAGGTTGTGCTACCTCTCGAAAACAAAACTCGAAAGTTGAAAACATCTGCTGCATCATCGTGTATTTACGTGCTGCCATGAGTGCAACATGCTTGAAAATTGTAATAGTTGTTGAATTAGCTTGGTTGAAGCTGACTAAAGATGGATACAACAGAAAAACAGTCGTTAAATATTAATATAGTTCTAGAAACACATGACCTCTCACTGACTTTGTTCGAGATGTAAAAGAACAAACATGTTCAATTTTTAAAGCCTACAATATGGTGTCATCTGTTCCTCTGTAGGCTCCGTCCAAAATGCATGTAATGATGAATTATAGCTGCCAGTGTTGAAGAACTGATCCAGCATCCATGATTTCCTCTTCATTTCAGCAGAGAAAGCTTAAAAACACTAACTTTCTAATAGATGATCTTCTTTGGATAGAAAATAAACAAAAACCAAAACATAAACATCATCAGTCTCATTGGTAACAATAATCAGGCTCTGCTGCTTGCCTAGCAAGTGGCTGTCGCCATGGCGACAGGTCCCACTGTCACTGTGTGGTTCTCATTATACCACTTGGCTGCTTCGCACCGTCCAACTCAAGCGACACGCGGTGGTTATCTGTTCTGTCTGTATCATACAGGCTTGTTCTCTCGACAGATGATTTATCGACCAATTATTTTTGATGACATGGTGTTCTGAGATCATCTGTCTTTCTCTGGAAAATATACCTTCAGAAGAAGTTTCACCCATGCTGCCGAGTAATTCATGAAAGCTCTAACAATGATGCACACTTTATATCCCAAAGTTCAAAAAATGTTTTGGAAACTTTGAATGTTTTAGTTTTGGCAGTATTTTTTTTATGCTTTTGCTTCAGTTCATGAAAAAAAAGACTTTATTAGAATAATTGGTAGCGAAACGAAATACAGCTTGATACATACTGAGTCCAGTAGTCCCTCGCTACTTCGTGGTTCGTTTATCGCGGACTCACTCTATCGCGGTTTTTCAAAATAAGATTTGACATGACACACAACTGACTGATTGATGGATGAGCTGCACGATTGGCATGGAATTTTTATTTAAAATAATTTATTTCAAATTATTTAGCACCTGCTGCACCTTAATGGGATCTAAGTGGGATCTACCACACAAGATTAAAATAAAAACAGGGGTTCCGCCCCCCTGTCTTTATTTTTATTTTATTTAATCCACGGTGGTGGATTCCACCACCGTGGATTAAATAAAATTAATTAATTAAATAAATCAGTAATGAAATAATTTTATTTAGTACATAAATAAAACTAAAAACAGGGGTCCCATCCTACTGTATTATTTTTATTTTATTTTATCCACCAGTGGATTACATGAAATAAAAACCACCGCGCACCACCGCTCCCATTTTTTTGTTTTATTTTATTTAATCCACCAGTGGATTAAATAAAATAAAACTAAAAACAGCTCTGTAGGGTTTTTTTTTTGTTTGTTTTATTTAATTTAATTTACACTGCAGATTTTGCATGTTACGGTAGTTGAACCGGAAGAGTCATCTTTAGTGAAATTCTTCCACACTGTTGATGAATTTCTGCCCGTTTGCCAAAACTTGGCCTGCTCCTCGCCTTCCGTCTGCTTGAAAGAATCCATTTTGTAGCCAGCGTCCGGTGCTGATCACATGATCGTGACAAATCGACTAGTCGACTAATAGATCCAACCCCTACTCTGGGCCCATGAGCAAGGCCATTAACCCCCTCCAGCTGCTCCCAGGGCACCTTGGATGGCAGTCCACTGCTTCACATGTGTGCGCTCACATGTGCAACGGGAAAAACACGGATATTTAATTTCCCCATCGGGGATTAATAGAGTACAATTTAAAAAATAAAATAAAATAAAAATCTATCAGCAATGGACAAAAAGTAGCTGAAAGACATATTTGACCATTAAAGTAACTTTTCTTTGTTTTTGTTTTAAACATAAACCTGTTCGAATGGCAGTAAAGTCTCAAATCAACCTTGGGTTGATGTCAAATGTGAAGCAAAAAGGAAGCACAGAGATGTAATTTATAAAGACAGAGCAAGTCACAGCAGAATGCATCTCTGTGATGTCAGCAAGAGACGACATGCAGGACGGAGCGTGAGAGACGTCTGTCCTCGTCATCAGGTCCACAAAGCCGGAGGTCAGCCTTAAACAGGTCAGGAGACTCTCTCAGTTTCCTCGCAGCCATCATTTCATCTCTTTCTATTCAACAAAAATCCCGATCAGTTTAGGCACTTTTGTAGTAACAAAAATACATGTTGCATGTGAATATGCATTTTTTTCCACTTTTTATTTTAGAAATAATCACAAATAATGATGGTGGGTTTTGTTTTTCCTCTTTTTGTATTTTTGAGATCTGA